CTGGGCATCAGGCGATCGCCTGAAGCCGAGCCTTGCTGCGTGAGGGGAGCTATAAGAAACCAGCGGCCAGCCTCGTTCCTTTCCCCGCCCCTCTCGGCCCCTCAGTCGCGGAATCCTACGACTCTCTTTCCCATACTCCCTGGCCCAGAAGGGGGTACTGCGCTTCCGCTTCCGGTGGCACCCCGCTGCGCCCCGCCCCCGAGCGTCTTGCTCATGGGCCTCGCGACGCCAGGGTCGTTCGTGAGTCGTCCTGGGATTCGTAGTTCGCCTTTCCCTCGCTTCGCCAGTTTCTCTTTACCGGGGACTCCATTTCCCGGCGTTCACTGCGGCGCTCGACCCTTGGCGTTTGCGCGTTGCCCTCTCCCCACCCTCCCCAATTTCCACTCCCCCCCCCACCCGACTTCGCCTGCCGCGGTCGGGTCCGCGGCCTGCGCTGTAGCCGTCGCGGTTCTTTGGAAGCAGCAACTCCCCTCCCCTACCCTGTTCCCGGTCCCCGTCCAGCCGGTGAGTCTGAGGTCGTCGCCGCGCCGAGTCCCCTGTCCTTAGGCGCGGCACATGGGGTCTCCGCGCGTTGATGTGGGGGTGGGAAGGAAGTGACCCGGTCCGGCACTGGGGGAGGGAGGGATGGTCTGAGGGGCGGAGGCGGGATGTGGGGACTCCTGTGAAAGGGCCCTCACGGCCACCCGCAGGCCGTGAGAGAAAAAGGGGCCCAGCTTTTGCTTGGAAAGGATAAACTTCGGAACCTTTGGGAAAGGCGCCGGGGACATGCAGAGACCTGCGGGGTAGGGATCTCGAGCCGAGGGCCCTGCCGGAGTTGACATGAAGAGGAAGGGGGCAGGTCTTCGGGAGCGTTAGGGGTGTGGGTAAGACTGGTGGGTCAAGACCTGTCGGTTTCTCGAAAGTATGGGACTCCAGAGAATCTCTAATCTCAGAAAAGGGGCCAAGGTGTGAATAACAGGAACTGGAGAGGGGCGCTCCAGAGTCTAGGATCTTTTAAGGAAAGGTGGCCCTAAACTCTTTCATGGTTGGAGAGCAAAGTGTGGGAGGAGGGAGGATACCAGAGGCTGGGTGGGAGAGATTGGGCTTTACTTACACTCTGTTTTTCTCCAGCTGACGTGAAGATGAGCAGCTCAGAGGAGGTGTCCTGGATTTCCTGGTTCTGTGGGCTCCGTGGCAATGAATTCTTCTGTGAAGTGAGTTCTCCTCAATCTCCCAGCCATCTCCTCACAAAGTTTGGCTATATATTTTCCCACATATTTAGCTTCCACACACTTCTCTTACAGGCTGCCATAGAAACTTTTTCCTGTCAAGGAAGAGTCCCTTCAGTAACCCCCCTCATTAACTTGTGAAGTGGCAAGACTGCCCAAGTCCCAAGCGTGTTATTCTCCAGCAATATAACATTGGACAAGTCAACCTTAATATTATTATTATATAGCATTGGACAAGTCAACTTTATTATTATTATTATTACTATTGTTATTATTATTATTGTCAGACTGGTACTGGTAGTCCATATTTTGGGAGCCTGTTAGAATTAAAATGCTGTTTGTGAAAATGTCTTGTAATGGGCAAAGTTGTGTGCTGGTAATATAAAGGATTGTAACTGCCCACAGGACCCAAGCTGTTCAGTCTCCACTTTTTTTTTTTTTTTTTAAGATTTTATTTATTTATTTGACAGAGAGAGGGAACACAAGCAGGGGGGAGTGGGAGAAGGAGAAGCAGGCTTCCAGCTGAGCAGGGAGCCCGATGCAGGGCTCAATCCCAGAACCCTGGGTTCATGACCGAAGGCAGCCAGTTAACGACTGAGCCACGCAGGCACCCGCAGTCTCCACTTTCCTTAGAGATCCAGCTGCCCCTAAGGAGAAGACAAAACTGATTTGTAGAGATGGGGGGCAGGGGGAGGAATAGGGATTTTTGAAAGGAATGTTTCTTTTTTTTTTTTTTTTTTTTTAAGATTTTATTTATTTATTTGAGACAGAGAGAATGAGAGAGAGAGAGCACATGAGAGGGGGGAGGGTCAGAGGGAGAAGCAGACTCCCCACTGAGCAGGGAGCCCCATGCGGGACTCAATCCAGGGACTCCAGGATCATGACCTGAGCCGAAAGCAGTCGCTTAACCAACTGAGCCACCCAGGCGCCCCAAAAGGAATGTTTCTTTAAGGAGGAGATTGTTGTAGCTGTTTAAAAGAAAAGCCAAAGCCTTTATGGGAAGGCAGTATATGTGAACTGGGGAGAGAGACTCAAGTAGTTCTGCTGAGTTGGAATTGGGGAATGAGGCGAAACAGAAGTAGTTGTGTTGAGAATAAGGCATCAATTAGAGCAGTGTGCCTAGGTCAAAGCTGAGGATTCTGCTATGGGTTTCTTCTTGACTTCCACATCTTGACAGGTGGATGAAGACTACATCCAGGACAAATTCAATCTCACTGGACTCAATGAGCAGGTTCCTCACTATCGACAAGCTCTAGACATGATCTTGGACCTGGAGCCTGGTGAGGCACCCTCAGGGTTGTTCTGTGTGTGAATGGGTTTTTTGTTTTGTTTTGTTTTTTCTTTTCATATTCTTGTTTATCTGCTTCTTGAATTTCTAAATTTTCTTTTGGTTCTCTGACTCTTTTTATCCCAAGTCCTGTCCTTCATTTTGGTCCCCCATCTGACTTTTGCCTGGGTTTGTGACTTACACCACCTGTACCCGCACTCTGATCCTGTAATTTGGTTCTATCCCCTAATGCTAGTTTCCCCATGGGTCTCATTTTCTGTTTCTTTGTTTTGCCTTGCACCTTTTAGTCTAGAATTTCATCTTCTGTATTGATACCTTTCATTTATTTGTTGAGAGAGTTGAGAGGGAGAGAAGAAAGTAAAGGCTAAAGAGGTGTAGAGAGAAGGCAGAGCTGCCTTGGGTTGGTGGAAGGGCCAGAGGCCCAGGTTTCTGGGTCAAATGCCCAGGTGATGGGTGGTTCAAAGATGGGTGCCAGGCAAACTGTGTAGCCAGTAGCCCCTGGAGGTGGGTGGGACATCTAAGAAAGCTGTAAGACAAATGGTTGCAATTGGCTGGGGCCATGTTTCAGATGAAGAGCTGGAAGACAACCCCAACCAGAGCGACCTGATTGAGCAGGCAGCCGAGATGCTTTATGGATTGATCCACGCCCGCTATATCCTCACCAACCGTGGCATCGCCCAGATGGTGAGGCCTCTCTGCTCCCCCTTGACTCCTCTGAGGCAGTAAGGGAAACAGAGGTTCCTGCAGTGAGGAGTCACATGTTTTCAACCTTGTCAAGGAATGTGGCTGAGAAGAGGGGAAGAACCCCAGATACGGGGCCTGGGAATTAAATCCTAATTGGGGTTGTGCTGACTGAGGTGTTTACAGGGAGGGAGACGTGACCTTGGACAGGAAGTTGTTGCAGTCTGCCTCTTCCTCAGGGAACAAACAGCGAATGGCTCTGATGGTCTGTAACCTGCCTAACTGGAGGAAAGGAAGCAGGGGAGTATGAGGGCCCATCTGGGCCAGCTTGAAGGGGTCTCTGGACAGAAAGGCAGGAGTGGAGGACAGAGCAATATGGGTTGGGCTGACAAAGGGATTGCCTCTTCTCTTATACCTACCCACCAACCCCTTTCATTTTATTCACCTCAGTTGGAAAAGTACCAGCAGGGAGACTTTGGCTACTGTCCCCGTGTGTACTGTGAGAACCAGCCAATGCTTCCCATCGGTGAGTATTGGAGAAGGGAAAGGAGGCCACGTCAAATGGCCGGTCCTCCTGGGAAAGAGTTGGGGCTCAGTAAGTCTGGGCCTGAGTCTGGGAGGGAGGTGGGGCAGGCTTGGGGGTGCCCGGCCTGCTGAGTCTGGCTGTCTCCCAGGCCTTTCGGACATCCCAGGTGAGGCCATGGTGAAGCTCTACTGCCCCAAGTGCATGGACGTGTACACACCCAAGTCATCGAGGCACCATCACACGGACGGCGCCTACTTCGGCACCGGTTTCCCTCACATGCTCTTCATGGTGCACCCCGAGTACCGGCCCAAGCGGCCCGCCAACCAGTTTGTGCCCAGGTGGGGAGCAGGGATAGAGTCACCCAGGGTCAAAGGAAAGGTTTGGGATTCCCCAGAGAGAAGGGAGGACAGGGCATGGTCCTTTCTTGAGGTTTGCTTCTCCCAGAGCAAGTAACCTTGGGGAAGGTATTTGCCTCCCTGTGCCTCAGTTCCCTTATCCATGAAATGGGGATGATAGTACCTGACCAATAAGGTATATTTAAATAGTGAGTTGCTTTGAAAAACATTTGGCACCTGAAGTACCATTTAAATGGTAGCTGTCATCATCTTGGTTGTTCAACCGTTTGCCAGGAAAAAGTGTGGTTTATCTTCCTGGAACATCATGTTTACCAGGAAGAACAGTTAGATATTATATTGAAACAAGTGCTAATCCGCACACACACACACAAACATACAATCACATACGTGTGTGTGTGTGTGTTTACATGTAGTCTAGAATTTGAGTTTTAATGGCTATTTAAGGTATATTTCCCAATATTCTGGAGGGAAGCCGTTTGGGAGCCACTGTCCTTAAGCACTGAGCAGACTCATGGAGAAGCTGGGGTGGGGAGGTGGAAACTCAGGCCACTGGCAGGGCCAGGGTGGGGCTCACCCTGCTGCCTCTCTGACCTTTGCCCCTGCGCAGGCTCTACGGTTTCAAGATCCATCCAATGGCCTACCAGCTGCAGCTCCAAGCCGCCAGCAACTTCAAGAGCCCAGTCAAGACGATCCGCTGATTCCCCATCCCACTTGGCCCTCAGTCTTCGACACCTCCGATCCTTTGCTGCCACCCTTTCAAGAACCCTCTATGGTTTTTAGTTTAAATTAAAGGAGTCATTATTGTGGTGGGAATATGAAATAAAGTGGAAGAAAAGGCCATGAGCTGGTCTGCTGGTGCTTGGGGTTGGGGGATGGGAGGGTGCTGCTCTGCTTGATTCCAGGGACCCTCATGGCCCAGCCCACCCTCCTCAAGTTGAAAACCAGCACAGATGGGTGCCCAGTGTATTTGGGTGAGGTTTTTAGCAGTAGAGCAGAATTTCTAGTATGTGCAAAGCCACAAGGAAAAGACCCAGGGGAAAATCAGATTTCAAAGTCTAGAGACATATTTGTTCTTTTTTGGCCACCTAAGGCTGTATATTTATACCATAAGGAGTATAATCAACAACAGCATCTTCCAGTTTTGATTTTACAGGGCAAGTGGTCCTGAAATAAACAGAACTGTTAAGGGGTGGAGAGAGGGACAAGGTCCAGAATTGCTGCCAGGTGGTGTCTGTGCGCCCCCTGGTGGGGGCTAAGACATGTTCACCTCAGAAGGCTGGGGCCCCAGGGTCCCTGGCCAAAGTTTTTGCCAGCACAATAGGGACGGTTCTCTTGTGTGGGGAGGACAGCATGTGGTACCAGAGACAGAAGCTGACCCATGGACCCTTGAGGTGGGGGAATAGATCTTTTCAGGGCACGAGGGACAAAGATAGGCAACTGGATAAAGGCCCAGGTGTTGCCTGGGCCATTGCTCCCACGTACAGGAACCCGACCTTGTGGGTGAGGACACGCTGTCCTCCAGCCAAGTTAATAACTTCCTCCCCCAGCCAAGGAATATAGCTCTGCGTCTACAGCTCCTGCTCAAACTGTCAAAACCACCCTGCAGCTCAGGATCAAGGAGCTGGGTCACAGGAAGGTCGGTTTCAGGATACCCCCCAGGGACTGCCTTCTCCCCGGAATTCCATCATGAAGGCCCATATGCTTGTAGGTGTGCTGGTCATGGTGGGCTTCGCAGTGGCAAAAGGTAAGTGGGGCCCAGGGGCAAGGAGCGAGAAGTGACTGAGTCCTGGAAGGGTGTGGGGCTGTAGCCCTGGTTCACGGGCAAGGCAGAGAACTTGGAATGAGCCAACACTCCCATCCCTCCTGTCTTCTGCTTCCCCAGCCCCTGTTCCTGAAGTCCGGACCTGCCACCTCTGCCTCTTAGAAGACCCTTCTACAGGGTGCATTTCAGGTTCAGAGAAGTGCACCATCAGCACCCCATCGCCATGTATGGTGATCACCATCTATTACGGTGAGTCAAGCCCCAGGAAGGGGCTGCTGCTGGGATAGCCCATGGCTTGGTCTCCTTTCCTCTCAGACGAGGGCTGCTTAGGGCCTGGGGTGCAAGAGGAAGACAGCAGGATCCTGGAAGGAGGAGTTGAGGGTTCTGGGGGATCCACTGAGCCAGTTTTTCTGGCCCCTTCTGAAGGAGTCTGGGATGGAAGTCAGGTCTGGGTGAGGGATGGGGAGAGTCTGGGGTAAGGATAACAGAGTTGGGGACTATGGGAGGCAGCGGGGGTTATTAGTTAGCTGTTCCCTCTTCTCCAGATACCAAGATTCGTTTCTTCATCCGAGGCTGTGGACAGTATAATTCTTACCGCTGCCAAGAAAAACGCAATACCTACTTCTCGGAGTACTGGTACCAGGCCCAGTGCTGCCAGTACGATTACTGCAACTCCTGGTCCAGCCCCCAGCTCCACAGCTCCCCACCTGATCCCCCGGCTGGGGCCTGGGCCTTGCCCCTGTCCGAGTCCCAGATCCACTGGTTCTACCAGGCCCTGAATCTCTCACTGCCCCTCCGTAGCTTCCATGCTGGGAAGGAGCCCAAAGGGTTGGACGCCCCGGCCATCCTGCCCCTGAACCTGAACTTGTCCATTGCTGACCTGCGTCGCATATATTTGTTCCTCAATAGCTCGGGACTTTTGGTTCTTCCCTGGGTTGGGCCCTGATGCCTTAGCCTTCCTGGATTTCACTGCATTCCAGCATCTCTCCCCTAACACCACAGCCTTGCGCTGCCCTCTTAAAACACCCATGTTCTCTGCTCTCTGATTTCTCTGGCCTCCCTTCCTCTGTACTTCCAGCGTGACTATGGCTTTGGTGTCTTTTCTTTGCCAGAAACTGGTGGTGCTGGACCTCGTAGAAAATAATGAGTTTAGAGTCTGCCTAGGCCAGCCTGGGGAAGGCATAGTGGCTTCCTCGTGTCCTTTCCTGTCACTGGAGTCCGTCATCCCCCTCATCTTTCCAATCCTCTGGCAATCTGGTCACTGCTGCCTCCATTCAGATCTGGTTGTAGATCACATCCTATGCCCATCTTAAGACCCAGACTGAACTTGCAGCAAGAAGAATGAAGGGGAGACTTTCGTGCACATTTTCTGACTAGCACTGTGCTGTCTCTGCCTCACTCCCTCCACCCCCACCCCTGCCCTGGTCGCCTGCTTCTCTCCTCTCATTGCAGTCCCTGGCCTCCTCAGCCTCACTTCGCATCACTGAGTCCTGACACCCACTTCAGTAGATGTCAGGGGAGGGGAGAGGAGAGACGAGGGTCTGGCCTGCTCTGCTCCACATCTGCTTGCTCTCCACAACCTCCACAATAAATGGACTGGGCTAAGTCTGTGTCACACTGTTTATGGGGTCAGGCTCAGGTGTGGGCAAGTATAGACCAGTGAACGAAGGTTGATTGGGTATGGGGATCAAACCATCTACAGCCTGGCCCATTCCACTTGGCCTTTGTGGCTTCCTCATGGCTTGAACCCTGAGAGCCTTTATCCATCCCACCTTCTGCTTGGCTAGAGATCTGTTCAGCTATGAGGATTATGACTTCTCTCAGCTTTTGACTTACCCCACAGGGGTGCCTGGCTGGTTCAGTCAGTAGAGCATGCGACTCTTGAGCTTGGGGTTGTAAGTTCGAGTCCTACGTTAGGTGTAGAGATTACTTAAAAATAAAATCTTGAACTAAAAAAAAAAAAACTTGCCCTAGAAACAAAACCTAGAAAGTTAAAACCCAGGTTACGTCAGGGTTTTCCATCTAACAGAGGTGGAAAAGTCTTCTTTGAACCAGGAAAACTTGGGAGCAAACCAGAGGGCCCAGGTCTGTATCTCAGAGTTACCTGGTGCTGAGGGATCTGGGTTTTTGCCTGTTGTTGGTTCTTTTTAGGATCCTGGCACCCAGGACCCCTCAGTAGGGAGCTAGGTTGGGGCATGGGGGATGTTCAGAGATACATGGTTGGAGCTGCAGTGGTTAGATCTTTCATTTTAATACGTCATTTGAAAAACTACAAGCATACAGAAAGCAATAATGAATATTCATAACTTTCCATACATGCAATAAACACACTGCTTTGGGCTTGGTGTTAATGAGTACAGCTAGGTGCCTGCCCTTCTGAGTCTTGTAAACCAGTGCTGGGGTTGTGAAACCTTTTTCTGAAAAGTAGTGCAGCTTTGTGGTTGGGGGACCCAATCCTGGCTCCTCTGCCACTTGGCTAAGTTGGTCTCTCTACCTTACCTTGGTCACCTGTCAAAGAGGAATAGTACTTCATAGGATTGAAAGAACGCATGTGAGTGTGTGCACAGGTGCAAATTAGAGCCTCCAAAATAGACACATGCCTTAGGGACAAAGATACAGATTGCGGTGTTTGTGTATGCATGTATTTATTATTACTACTATTTTTTTTTAATTTTAAAGATTTTATTTATTTGAGGGAGGAGGGGGAGAGGGAGAAGCAGACCCCCAGCTGAGCAGGGAGCTTGGGGCGGGGCTCGATCCCAGAACCCCGGGATCATGAGCTGAGCTGAAGGCAGACACTTAACCGACTGAGCCACCAAGTGCCTCTATACTACTTTTTAAAGTAATCTCAGGACACCTGGGTGGCTCAGTCGGTTAAGCATCTGCCTTCGGCTCAGGTCATGATCCTAGGGTCCTGGGATCGAGTCCTGCATCGGGCTCCCTGCTCCGCGGGGAGCCTGCTTCTCCCTCTGCCTGTCTCTCTCTCTGTCTCTCATGAATAAATAAATAAAATCTTTAAAAAAAAAACAAAGTAATCTCTATCCCCAACATGGGGCTCGAACTCATGCCCCCAAGATCAAGAGCAATACGTTGTACCAACTGAGCCAACCAGGTGCCCCTTTGGCCTATTTTTAAACCTCTTTAGCAAAACATACAGAAGCTTGCATACACCATAACTTGAGTTTTTGTAAACCACACACCTGTGTCACCAGTCCTCAAGTCCACATAAAGGCCTTTATCAGCACCCAAAGCCGCCTTTGTGCGCCCTCCCAGGCAGGTCTCCCAACTCAGCAGTAGCCACTGTCCTGAGTTGTAGCTGTTTAGAGGAATTCTGTCTGTGCTTGATAACAAATGGCATCATACAGCATATATTTTCACTTACACATTTTGCACATATGTTAACTGAGTTCCATGTCCCCTTTAATGGCCTGTGCTCTGGCAGGAAGCACCGATATTAATTTGTAGGTCAGGGAGCAGTTGGAGGTACAAAAATAGGTCCAAACCTTCAGGGTGCCCCCGCTCTGGGCCCACTTTTCTCCATCACCTCTGACTTCAGTGTAAAAGTCTAGGTTTATACAGCTGTAGCAAGTAAAAGTGGAGGACGGTCTCAGAGGCTGAGGAACGCAAGGCCCAAAATTCTGCAGTAACTTCCCACACCATCCTTGAAAAGGGAAGCTGAGCCTGGGGTCAGGCCAGGGCTCCACGAGACCTAGCGGCTCTTCCATAAAGCGTCCTGCCCCCCCGCCCCCGGGCCCCGGGCCTGGGCCTGGGCCTCTCACAGCTCCGCTCCCACCAGCACCTCTCCCCGCTGTGGACCTCCCCTCCAGTTCTCACACAGTCCTGGATTTGACCCCACTGCCAAGGATGCCCCTTGCCCTTCCAGCCTTCCCTGCAGGAGCGCTTTGGTTCCTCTTCATTTTTTTGTGCCTAGAGCTGAATCCAAGACGTGGAGTTGGGGCAGGAGCAGAGCTCAGTAGAGCTGGGAGCCCCTTACCCGCCCCCACAGCAGTGCAGTCAGGCAGGAGCTCGGCCTCCACCACCAGTAGAAGACACAGACAAGCCATATAGTTTGCACACCAATGTATTCGGGAGTAACACCTGGGGACTTGAGGGGAGAGAGGCCCATGGTGGGAGAAGGGGCAAAGCTGGGCTAAGGAGCAGCCAAGAGGTGGGAGAAGAGAGGAGAAAAGCTGTCAGACTGTGAGGACTTGAAGGCAAAACTCAGAGACTTCTGGAGAGGGAGCCTGGGGGAGGGATAGAGTGGGAAAAGGGGTGTCGAGGGGTGTCAAACAAGAGGCAGATAGGGCTGGGGTCCAGTAACTTGAGGGAGGCTGGGAGGGCTGGTAGAAAGAACTGGAAGTTGTTCTGGCTGTGCCAGCCAGCTGGAAATCAGGAAGATGAAAGGCGACTGGCAGGATTTTATTCTTAAAAGTCTCTGCAGAAATTCTAAGGAATATAGAAGACTCTGTTCTGGGGGTTATTGCAGAACTCCCGGAAGCAGCATCGAGAAAATATCCAGAAGCCAAACACTGGAGAAGAGCGGGTATATGAACAATCACTCATCTGTTCCTTGCGGCGGCAGTCACTCACCATGATGTCAGAACCACTGTCTGGGGAAGGATGGCAGCAACCAGTGATACAGAGATCCCAGGTCCCAGGCACAGCCCCAAGCCCCTCCATCCCGTCACTCCATATGGACTTAGCATCACTGCCCCCACACTCTTCCCTGGTCCCCCAAAAGGCAGATTTCTGGAACTGGGCAGGGGCAGGGAATGCCAGGGAGTCACCAGCTATGAATTCTGTGGAAGGTTAGTGGGAAAGAGCCACTCAAAATACAGTGATGGTTGGAGGGGGCTGAGTTTGGTCTTGCTGGGGAGGGGGGACCAGCACTTCGGCCGGGACCCTATAAGGAGAAGTTGGGAGAGGCTTCTCTTTGATATGCTTGAATACTCTGACATTGGACCATATCTATGTTTAAGAAGTGTAATAAAAAGGGGCGCCTGGGTGGCTCAGATGGTTAAGCGTCTGCCTTCGGCTCAGGTCATGATCTCAGGGTCCTGGGATCGAGTCCCGCGTCGGGCTCCCAGGCTCCTTGGGGGCCTGCTTCTCCCTCTGCCTTTCTCTCTCGCTCTGTCTCTCATGAATAAAAAAAAAAAAAAAAATCTTTAAAAAAAAAAAAAAGAAGTGTAATAAAAAGACTTGAATTTGAATTCGAAGGTAATTTGATGTAGTGGTTAAGAGCACCATCTCTGTAGTGTTTTAAGAGTATTGTAGTTGTTTAAGAGCACACAAACTGTGACTCAGCTTCTAGGAGACTTGGGCAAGGTATTGACCTTTCTGTGCCTCTGTTTCCTCATCTGCAAAATGGGGGGGGGGTAGTAATAACAATACCTTTCTCAGAGGGTTGTAAGTGCTTAGAATAGTGCTAGCACACAATACATGTTTTGTGTTTTAAAAAGGGTAAGGGAGGGGCACCCAGCTGAAAGAAAAAGAAGAAAGAGGAAGGGAGGGAGGGAGAGAGAGAAAGAAAGAGGAGAAGAAAAAGAAAAGTGTGAGGCATTGTGTGGAAGAGCAGGCATGAGGAACAGGGAAATGTAGTAAATGTTCAGCAAATTGAAAAATGAGGTGTTGCTCTCCAGAGCGCCATTTGACATGACAGTTTGGCCTAACATTCAAATTCAGGAGGAAGCAGAGCAAATCCTCTGGGAAGAGTAAAGCAAGAAGACAGCTAAGGCCCAAACTTTGGTGGACATGAACCCTTAAGGGTAAAGGAGAATAAGGCAAGACCCAGGGAAGGAGACCGGGAAGAAGCAGTGGACGAGCCAGAGATGTCTGCAGGAACTGTGGCTGACAGGCAGGGAGAAGGCAGCCTGAGGACAGGCTGGGGGAGCTGGTGATCACAAGGGTCCCCCACAAGGCTGGGTGCTGTAAGGAAGGCGGGAGCCGGTCAGCTGCAGGCTGAGGGAACAGAAGCGTGGAAGCGGAGACAGAGAATGGCTCTGAAGGTAAGGAAAGAGAGACCAGGATGGGAGCAGGAACCCGACATGGGGTACAGCCGAGACACACATTTTGGGGATGGGCTGAGCCAAAGATAAGCAGCTTACTGTTCTTTATGAGGAGAGTCATGCAGCTGCTGCCAGGCGGGGCGAGGCAGATGTCTGATCCCAGAAGGCATCCCAACTCCTTGGTCTCCAAGAGGCATCGATAGCAGCGCAGGTATTTGGGGAGCTGAACTGGATGAGGGGGTTCAGGATCAAAATTACCTAGAACACAGACAAACACTGACTCCAAACCCACCTAATTTCCTGGCTGGTCAACCCCCTCCCCACTTCCCCATCTCAGAAAACCGTAAGATCGCCAATTCTTGAAAACCATCTGGCTTAATCCTCTACCAGAGGCCTTGTTAAAATCTCCATTCTCTGCTCTTACACCTCCTGAAATAAGGAACTCATTAAGGAATTCATTCACTCATTCAACATGTATTTGAGGTGCTAACATGTGCCCAGCACTCTGCAAGCTTCTAAGTTCGAAGGTGAGGCAGGGGCAGCTCATTCCAGCTTTGGGCAGTTCAGTGAGGACAGTTCTTCCTCTGGGACTTGGTTTTACAGTCCCTCACCCCTATGGACTCGCTTTTGAATATGCTTTCTTAATCTGTAATGTTCAAGAAGTGAAAACAAGACTGCATTATGACAGGAAGAGTCTGCACTTTGCAGACAGACCTCAAGCAGCCCACCACCACATTCTTTGGTGGTCTTTTCACTGGAAAGACTCTAATATTAAACTCTGTCACCAAAGCCCTCCCCAACTACGAGTATATACACTTCCCTCTTCCTCTGGTCCCAGGCCCAGACCACATGTTAATGAGTCCCCAGACCCAGCGGCGCACTTAGTGTGAGGCAGATACTGAACAAACACTTTGAATCCTGCTTCTACACAGGTGGCGTTTTGCAGTCAAGTGAGGAGATTATCAGGCTGGATTGAGGCTTGTTCTACTCTGTAGGTGCTGGTTCTGTCATTTAGCACGTTCCTGGAACCCTCCCTATTCTGCACTGCCCCGATTTGAATGGGGTCCCTTCAGTATCTTCATCTCACTGCTGTTGAGACGGCCCTGGGGTGATAACTAGAAATCTCCCTCAGAGTGAACATTAGTCCATTCCCAGTCCCTAGGCATTATCCCATCAAGCCCATCCATCCCATCTTTCCTCCTGCCTGGGTTTACCTGAGTATCCTGGGCAGATGTACCCAGACACCTGGTGTCTGTGGGTTTCTCTACCCAGCAGACCAGGAGACCCTTCCGACCCCTTAGAGCCACTTACCAAACACCAAGCTCATCATGACCAGCGCTATTAAAAGGACCATGTAGAGGGCTTGGGGGTTGCTGTGGAGGCCCAGGGCCCCCATACTCCGGCTACCTGCAGGGCCTGCCATAAAATGCATGACTGCCCACCAGCCTCCAGTTGGAGCTTATATCGGTGGAAGAGAAATTGGCCAAGAGGAAGGTAACACCCATTCGGGGTGGAAATCAGTGCCAGGATAGCCAGAGAGACAGAGTGTCCTCAGCCATGACCACTCTAAGGCCTAATATCCTGCCTTGGGGACAGAACCCTGGCAAGAGGGGAATGAGAGGGAAACTTTCTTTCATATTTAATCTACATAAGTTTATTCACGCTATCAGGTGTTGGGGATACAACATTGCACAAAATCCCTGCCCTCACAGAGCAGTCTAGTGGGGGAGACAACAAGGAATAATGGGGAGTGGTGGTGGGGGGAGAAGACAAGTGCTTCCCGGGAGCGCCTGAGAAGCCGAAGGCACTGACCAAAGGAGCAACAAGATCAGATTTCTGTTTGTAAAAGACTGCAGAGGCCGGGAAACCAGTTGGGAAGCTATTCCTGAGTCCAGTCACAAGATGGCGGCCTGGTCTAGCAGAAGAGAGGCAGGAGCCGACATGAAGGAATCGGACACTTACTTAGAAGACACTTATTTAATTGGACAGATTTGGAGTTAGACTGAATATGGAAAGAAGGAAGGTGGGGGGATAGGCTTGCACAAGGAGATGATTGGTGGTACCACTTTCCAAGATGGGGAAAACGTGGAATGGTAAGAAATCCCAAATTGAGGACACCTGGGTCCCCAGTGACCTATTCAGTCCAGTGGCCTCTGTGGGGTTTCCGGCTGGCCAGCATCTTTCCTTACGCCCCCCTTCCCCCGCCCCGCCTAAGCTCAGCTGCAGGTCAGTGGCTCTGATCTCCGGCGCCCACAGGCTCCGGCGCCGTGCGCTCGCTCTCCGAGCTTGACTGCACCTCAGGGCTCCCAGGAGGATGCGGGGGCGGCCCCCAGGCCGAGCTCAGTTCTCGGCGGGGAGCGTCTGGGAAGAAAACCTGGGAAAGCCATGCCCGCGTCGGACCCAGACGTCCACCCCTAACGGACACCCAGAGCACTACGAGGCTTCCCCGGAAGGCGGCGCTGCGGCGCCACCAACCCTCCCAGGTAGGAGGCTACGCAGCAACCAATAAGCGGCCGTGGGCGTCCCGGGCGCCCCGCCCACCACCTCTGCCAGGGGCGGGGGGCGTGGCCTGCCCGGCTCCTACGCCCGGCGGACTCTTTGCATGCCCCTCTCCAGGTCATTCTCTGAGGGACTCCGGGTTTTCATTTTATTTTATTTTTTCTAAGGATTTTATTTATCCATTTGTCAGAGAGACAGTACAAGCAGTGGGAGCAGCAGGCTCCCCAATGAGCAAGGATCCCCATGCGGGACTTGATCCCGGGACCCCGAGATCACGACCCAAGTCGAAGGCAGACGCTTAACCAACCGAGCTACCCAGGCGCCCCTCAGGGTTTTCACTTTAAGTGTGGGTGGGCTGTGGGAAGAGCTGGGCGTAAAGGAGCGAATCACCTGCTCCAATTTTCGGTCTGGAGGTTTGGGGTGCGGCGCTGCAGGAGGGCTCCCTGCTTACAGTCCCGGACCATCCAAGAATCATCCGGCCTCGGGTGCTGATGGGGAAGATGGGAAGAAAGGGACGGAGACTCGCGCCAAGGAAGACGCACGGGAAAGAAGAAACACGAAAGGAATACACGCCACTGCGCTCCCAACAGCGTTGGGATGAATGAAATAAGAAAAATGTATTATTGAAAAGTCAGAGTAATGAAGTTGGTGGGAGGGCCGCCCGGCACCAGCCGAAATGTCTGTTGAATGAACGACAGAGAATCAGAGAGCGGGGGCTCCTCTTGAAGCGAAGGGGGCAAAAGGGAGTTAGAAGGGAATTTCACAGCGTCCTCGGAACCCCTCTCTCGAATATAACCGCAACTAAGTCCAAGCACTAGGGAGTTATGGGTAGCTGAGGCTGGGCTCCCTGAAGGAGTGACCCTGAGAGGTCCGGGAAGACTCGCTGTGGAGTTAGAGCCCATAGCCGCGCGCGCTGCCGGAGGGAAGACACGAGCGGTATTTCGGCGCTGGGCTGGGTGGGGCTGGGAGAGGTGTTCTTCGGAAGGGGCGTGGCCTCACGGCCATCAATGCTGCCCCCGTTTCGTTTTGTTACTCCCCAGTCTAAGCGACCCGGCGCGGCCAGTGCGCGGGCAGAGCCTCGTGAGTTCGTTGCCACGGTGACGGGCTCCAAGGAGGCTTTCCCGCGGTGAAGAGGCGGGGCGCTGCTGTGGTCGCCATGGTGACACCTGCGGAGGGCGGTATCTGGGCTGAGTGCCGCTCCCCCGGGACAAGGGACGCCTGGGAGTAAGCCGCCGAGTGACGAAACAAAGGAGGTGGGGCCTGAGGGCCGAATGCCACCTTCAGGGGAACGGGGCGGGGCCATAGATGATTGGACTGGACGAGAGCCAAGTTCTGTTCGCCGACCGGCTAGACCAGGCGGTCTGGGAGAGGAACTGGAGAAGCGATCTTTAGCCCGAATATAAATGAATGAAAAAAATGAATGATTTGGTTCCTCAGGGTGTTGGGATGGCTTGTTGAGTGGCTGGATGAATGAGTGGATAGGTACCTGGCCCTCACCCACTTGTGACAGCCGAGAAGGAGACACCTGCCCCTCCTGGGGAAGTGGAGCAAATCCTCACCCCAAACGCGGAGCCCAGAGCCGACTCTGGCAGCCTCTAAGATAGGGAAGGACGAGGGACGGTCCAGCCCAGGGCCCACCTCTCCTTCCCAGGTTTCCTGCTCAGGTGCTAATTCTTCTTTGTCCCAGCCTCCATCCTCTCTCCCAGTGTGCCCAGCTCCTCGGGGACGCCTGGCCGTCCGGGCCTTACCTGGTGCCCATTAAAGCAAGGTCCAGAGCCCCAGCAGATGTGGGATCTGCATCTCAGATGTTCTCCTGAGACTGTTGGAACCCTGCTATATAGGGTGAGGAGGAGTGGACAGGGAGCTGGTCCCACCCCAGGTGGGGGTTGTTCAGCAAACAGCTGATGTGAGCTTTATCGGGTGGGGAGTGATCTAAGGATGTAGACTGAGGCCCCTGGGTGGGTGTGGGGGGTCCAGAATTCAAATGTTAAACCTCCCCCTCCCCATCCACTAAATATATCCAAGGGCTCCTCATGACATCCACTGTTCTTTATAGTATGTGCAGGAAGAAGGGGGTAGGGGGAAGTGGTGGCAGAGGTAGGTCAATAGAGTCCCTAGTGGCCATGGCCAGGAAGGGGGAGTCCCTTGTCTCCAGGGTGTGGGAGGTGGGGCTAGGTGCCCCCTATTTGCATTCAAGGAGGTTAACTTAGCTGAACAGACTTGTTTTCCAGGAGATTAACTAACTGTCTTGGTGGATCAGGGAGGGTGAAGTTCAGAACTGGGCAACTGGTCCTACAGCTTCATGCTCCACACTTCCCACCCTGTTTGCCCCCTGGGACAGGACAGAGGAGCAGAGTGCCAGCATCAACTCTCCAGTATTTGCTAAACGTGGAACATTCTGGAGCTGTGGCCACCTCCTCTCTTTTAACCCCAAGTACCAGGTGTCATATCAGAGATCACCCTTCCAGTGGAGACTCAGTATGCTCCTGCCCCAGAGAACGCAGAAGGAGCTTCATGCCGTGGGGTTCAGGAGACACTGAAATTAGCCAGAGGCCATCTAGGACATCAGAGCATTATTGCTTGCCCATGTTAAGCTTGTTCACAACGGTGGCCAAGGGGGGTAAATCTGGGGGAGTTTCATCTAGAAAAGAGGTTCCCAAAGAAGGAGGTGGCCAGGGAACATACTGATGGGTGGGAGAAGGACTGATTCCGTTCCATGAAATCCAAGGATTGGAAATAGGACAGAACTTAGAGGAAACCAATTTCCTCAGCTTCAACCTAAGGATTTTATTCTAATAGCTGTCCAGAACGGTGAAATGTGGCTGTGGGAGAACATAAGCCCTTGGCGCCCAGGCCTCAGGCCCTGGAAGGCCCTGTTTTTGAATTGCAACAAAAGACTTGATGACACGGTGAGGAGGTGTGCAGGGTTCGCTGCTTAAGACGTGAGGAGTGGGCTGTTCCTCACTCCCCATGGGAACAGCAAGAGCTGAGCAAGGAACACTGGGGGTACTGATGGTGAAGCCATGCAGGTTGAATCTGGAAATCCGTAGAAGATTCCTGAGTAGGGGCAATCAGGTACTAGAAAAACACTTTGTAAGCAACAAAGCATGGGCAGGGGAGGTTGTACGTGGTGATACTACTAGACAGACCAGTGAACGGGGAGGCGTGGGGACCCACTGCATGAGGACAGTTCAAGTTGGGGTCTGAAGGCCTGGGGGAACAGCAGGGATGGGGAGGGTTAAATTGGCTGGCTGGGGTTGGGTTCCCCAAATCCCAGCCCCTTGAGGCTTCAGCTGTCCCCACTACCAGCCCCAGGCTCCTGGACATTTGGGAAGTCAAACAATTAGCCCGACTGTAGAAAAAATACCTTTTTATTAGTTATTAGGAATAATCCATCGAATGCAGGCTGCGTGTTGGGAAAGGTTAGGTACTGCCAGATGGATGAGGGGAAACGTGCAAGAGGGCAGTGAGAAGGGGGACAGTCCCCCCACTTCCCACAAACTATAAACAGCAACATGAACACAGAGAATCACAAATAAGAGGATCCTTCCTCCTGTCTCCTCCTGTCCCACTCTTTCAGAACGAGTCCCACTGTGGTCGCTAGAGGTGCCAGGGCATCTGGAAGTTCTGGGCTGGGAGCGGGGTGCAGTGTGTGGCCTCAAAGTTGTGCAGATACTTCTGAGCCTGAACAAAGAGGGCAGGACAGGTGGGGTGCAGAGCACTGCGGTGAGCAGCAACCACCAAACATCTCCATGGCCCCTGAAACCACCACCCACGCTCTACAAGCTGCCACTTCCGACGCTGTCCCCAAGCCCCACACGTGCCCCCTGGCTGTCCCGGCACCCCCTTCCTGCTTGCCACCCCTTAGCTCACCAGAAACAAGGCCAGCTGCTGCCTTCCGTCTGCATCCATGTCCTCCCCTACAGAGAAGAG